TGGAGAACACGAGGGCCACTTCGCGGGGGCCTTCGCAGGTGGCGGGCGCGTGGCTGCTGCTGCTGCTGCTGCTGCGGGGCCGCCGGCGAAGCTGCAGCGGGGGCGTTCTCTGGGCGCGCAGCAGCAGGCGCTGCAGCAAGTGCTGGACGCTCCTCTGTTTGCGCCCAAGTCCGCAGCGCCGCCGGGAGCGTCTGCTGCCGCTGCTGCTGCTGCGGGGCTCGGTGGGGGCAGCTGGCTGGCTGGAGAGGAGGGGCCTGAGGACTGCGGGCTCAGCAGCATGCCGAAGCCGCGGCGGCCGTGGGCCTGCGGAGAGCCCCTGGGCTTCTCCCACGAGGAAGCCAAGCCCGCAGTGCGCACTTACGTGCACAAGCCGGGCTGCCGGTGCCCCCTGTGCACAGCTGCGGGGTGGGGGCTGGGGGCCCCTGGGGGCCCCCTGGCGGGGGAGCGCCAGGGGGTGGACACCTACGCCTCCGTGGAGGGGCCCCGGCTGCAGGGGGGCCTCCCTGTGGTGCCTCTGCCCCCGGGGGGCTACGCAGCCTCTTCTCCCATGCGCATCTTGTCTTCGCCCATCAGCTCCCACGCGGGCTACAGGCCAGCCCGCAGCGAGGGCCCCGGGGGCCTCGCCTACAGCTCCGGCGAAGTCCTTTTGCCCCAGGGCAGCTTCTTGGACTCTGGGGGGGCCCTCGTGGGGCCCTCGCTGCAGCGGGTCTACCCGGCCCAGGGGCTGCAGCAGGGGCCCCACCTGCAGACGCTCTCCTGCAGCGAGTGGCAAGGGGGGGGCCCCCACGCCCACCTCCAGCGGGCCACGCTCCAGCCATCCTCGCTGTACCCTCTCGCAGCAGAGACTCTCCAAGAAGACAGGCAGCAGCAGCAGCAGCAGCAGCAGCAGCAGCAGCAGCAGCACACTCCCTGCTTTGCCCACTCCCCCTCGCCCCGCATGGCTTCGCAAGAGGCCCCGCAGAACAAGCTAGATGCTTCTGCTGCTGCCAGCAGAGGTGTCAGCGTTGAAGACCCCGAGAAGCTACGCGCCAGACAGCAGCAGCAGCAGCAGCAGCAGCAGCAGCAGCAGCAGGAGGAGGA